CAAGGTCTTATGCCAGACCTGTTACAGAAGGTGTTAAGATGAGACTTAGAGGTATAAGACAGAGTCTGGGTTTGCAGCTTGCTTCTTCTTCTTTACCAACGTTCAGTTTAGAGATTACCTCCCAAATTTTTGTCAGGACAAATTGTATTTATCTGTAAGGAGGATTTTGAGTTCAGCTTTCTCATTGCATGATAGATTGGACAAATGTTTCAAAAAAATGTTCTTCAACATCCTTTGCAAAATTCCTGGTATGCTGTGTTTTGTCACTTCAGCAGTGGCTGAGTACTTGATGTTTAATGTTTATAATCTGGGCATATAACCTGTGTTTCTTGTGTTCAAGAAACAAGTAAAGATTTAACAATTATCTGAACTAGGTTTGGAGGCAAATGATAACCGAAAACCCAAATGTTCTGTTTCAGAGCATTAATGTTACAGCAAAATATGTGTATTTGATTTTTCCTTTAAAGGAATACCCAACCAAATATAGAACTAGAAGTACAGGCCAAAGAACCAATTTGTGTAAGCAGTCCTGAAGAACCCTTGCCTGTTTTTCCAGACTAATTTTGCCCTTCATAATCTTTTCCTTAATTGTTCCTTTTTCTTTGGAATTTTCATTATGGTTTTGATTCTTTATGTCATTGTCCATATTTTTCTACTTTTTCTTAGACCTTTTACATACATTACTTTTTTATTTCTTTTATGGCTAGGGTAAAAATTTGTCTAGTGACCATTAACCCAGGATTGTTGGCACCCATCGATAGTTTCCCCTGCCTGGCTTGTTTGGTAGTTTGCATGCAGCATTAGTCACCTAAAAGCATATATTTTAATAAAAAAAAAAAAAAAGTGAAGATTTACCTTCACTTTAGCTGCCATTGCCTAAAAGTTTCACCATAAAAAAGATGCTCCTGCTATTAGAGAAAAATCAGCTTCACCCAATGAGCAGACAGCACGGAATTGGTTGCTATGCGATGCCACCTGCTCCTTGGTCCACAACAGCCATATCTGTTCATACATGCCACCCGGTGGGAAGGGGTTAATTTAATATATTTCATCTTTAAGCATTGTTATTTCATTAAGGCATAGTATTTCTTTCAGGAAGTCCTTTTAAGATGTTTTACTGTCTTCTTTACTTCATATACATTTTTCAGTCAAAACCCTATATGTGTATTTTTCATCCTTTCCCTTTACACATATTTCAGCAAATGTTTCAGCTGATAATTTGTTAACAAAGGATCCAGTTTGAAATCTTTTTTGATTGGATTTACTTCTTTAAACATTTTTGGTTGTTGCTTTTTAAAAGTTTTTTTATGATGCAATGACACATTAAACCTAAGTATTTAGGGACTAGGTAAAGGTAATTTATATTTAAACACAGTTAAGATTAGCAGCTTCACAATTTTCAGCTTCCTAGCTTTTCAATTACTCTTTATATTTCTGTGGTAGTATTTTTTGTAGTTTTGTGCACATCAGAAATAACTTTATTATGTTGTCACCATTCATTGAAATGATACTATTTCTGAAGATAAATCAACTTTTCCATTTTCAGAGGCCTTTCATAAGTATGTCAGTTTTTGGGATGATGTCTATGGCTTCAAAATGACATGCATGAAAGGTGATGTTGTTAAAGAAGCAAACACTGACATCATCAAAGAGGAGAAAATTATTACATCTTCAGGTAAAGCTCTCTTTGTTCCTGCTTTGATTTGTTTGTTTTCTGTTGTTGCAATTATACGTTTTACTTGTGATATTATTAAGGACAGTCATATCCTTCCAATTCTTCATAATATTAGCTGTCTTTTTACTAGCAATTTTCTTCACTTTTAATACAGCAGAAGCCTTCAATTTGGCATGATAGTTATGCGATAATAAATTTCTTTAGTACTGATATATTTCAAAGTGCAGTTCTTAACAAGGTGCACAAGGCAGATATGTCTTAAAACAAGGATATAAACTAATTAAAACTACTGTGATTCAAAAGATGATATATCTGTGATTAAGACCTTTTAAATCATATCTAATTTATAGATATTTTTTGTTTTCCAGACACAATTCTTGACCTAGATCTCATGGCGATTACTCCCAACGACACAGAGTTCTCTTCCGAATTTTCACTAACAGTCCAAAGAGATGGTTTGCTGACAGGTTTTGTTGGATATTTTGACACTTACTTTGAGATGCCAACTCCAGTTTTCTTCTCCACTGGTCCACATGCCACCCCAACACACTGGAAACAAACTGTGTTCTACCTTCCAGAACCACATAATGTCAAAAAAGGTTTGTAAACTTTTCCTCTCATAATTTTTTTTCTTTCATTGTATATCTTCAATTTTATTCTTGTTTCATTCTTAGTGTTATATGTCTTTTTTGTTTTTTCTTTGGTGTTTTTCATGTCCTTGTTTCTAACTCCCCTCCACTTCCTTTTTTTTTGCTCTTGCCTCTACTTTTTTTAATGTTTCTTCCTTTCTTTTCCACCTCTTCTTTTTCTCATTTCTATTCATCCCGTCTGATTCTCCTCCATCTTCTCAGTCTCCTGATACATTTTCTTCTTCTCCCTCCTTCTTCTTCTTCTTCTTCTGCTTCTTCTCATCCACCTCCTCCTTCTCCTCCTCCTCTTCCACCTCCTCCTTCTCCGCTCCTCTTCCTCCTCCTCCTCCTCCTCCTCCTCTCCTCCTCCTCCTCCTCCTCCTCCTCCTCTTCCTCCTCCTCTTCCTCCTCCTCCTCCTCCCCTCCTCCTCCTCCTCTTCCTCTCCTTCTCCACCTCCTCCTCCTTCTCTTCTTTCTTCACCTCCTCCCTCCTCCTCCGTCTCCCTGTCCCTCCTCCTCACTCCTCCTGTGGGAGAATTACTCACTCTTCACTCCTACTTCTTCCTCCTTCTCCTCTTTCTTTCCCTACCCTCCCCCATTTTCCTACTCCCTGTCCTCTTCCCTTTTCCTCCTTTTCCTCCTTCTCCTCCCCTCCTCTTCCCTCTCCTCCTCCTCTTCCTCCTCTTCTTTCTCCTCTTCCTCCTCTTCTCCTCTTCTCCACCTCTTCCTCTTCTTCTTTCTCCTCCTCTTCCTCTTCTTTCTCCTCCTCCTCTTCCTCTTCTTCTTTCCTCTCCTCCTCTTCTTTCTCTTCCTCCTCCTCATTGTCTTTCTCCTCCTCCTCTTCCTACTCTCCTCCTCCCTCTTTCTCCTCCTCCTCCCTCTTTCTCCTCCTCTTCCCTCTCCCTCCTCCCTCTCCCTCCTCCATCTTCCTCCTCCTCCTCCTCCTCCCCCTCCCCCTCTCCCTCCTCCTCCTCCTCCTCCCTCTTCCTCTTCCTTATACTCCTCCCTCTCCCTCTTCCTCCTCCTCCTCCCTTTCTCACTTCCTCCTCCATATTCTTCTCCTTCTCCTTCTCTTCTTCTCCTCCTCCTTCTCTTCTTCTTTTCTTCTTCTTCTCCTTCTCCTCCTCCTCCTCCTCCTCCTCCTCCTCCTCCTCCTCCTCCTCTTCCTCTTCCTCCTCCTCCTCTTCCTCTTCCTCCTCCTCCTTTTCCTCTTTCCCCTCTTTCTCCTCCTCCTCCTCCTCCCTCTCCCTCTTCTTCCTCCACCTCCCTCTCCCTCTTCCTCCTCCTCCTCCTCCTCCTCCTCCTCCTCCTCCTCCTCCTCCTCCTCCTCTCCTCCCTCTCCCTCTCCCTCTCCTCTCCCTCTCCCTCTCCCTCTCCCTCTCCCTCTCCCTCTTCCTCCTCCTCCTACTCCTCTTTAACTCCCCTCAAAATTTTATGATATATGAGAATGATATGAATTGTGTTTGTAATAGAATTGCAATATAGCTATATGGGGCTTTTTTAGCATTTCTAATTAATTTCTTTCAACATTGCAGATGAAGTAATTAAGGGCGTAATATCTGTCCGGAGAAAGAGAAGAGAAATCCGATCTCTAGATGTTGGAATCTCCTTTAACAACAAAAAAAATTCAAATATTTGGTGGAGTAATAAATGTGCAATTCATATGTATGTTTAATTTTGATTCCTTAGAGTGTGATGTTCTTTTTCTTCTTTTAATTTTGTTTTGTGTGTGTGCTGCAAAGTATGTTCATGTAGATAATGTATTTTTAGTAATGTGTAGATTATGACTTAGGCCTTTTTAACTAGAATTTATGTGAATCACATTTTTAAAATTAATTCAAATCTAATGAATGCACTGTAACAGGTATTGCACAGATTTATATTGATTACAATTTGTTTGATAAATAGATCTGCTGAAACGTAAGATAGGATTCACACAGTGCTTCTTTTGAACCCATGAGCTTTATCAAACACAGATTTTCCAATATCAGGTTGATTTGTTGTCAGACTAACTCAGGTCAACAGAGAGAAAAAATAATACATATCACCAACTTAGTATTATTGTATCAGTATTTTTATCACGTAGTTATGGAAATGCTAACATAAAAGCATGAACACCAAATTTTTCTTCCTTTCTCCATTAAGGCATTTATCTTTCAAGTTTAGATTAGTAGTAAGGTATAACATATGCTTCCATAGTTAGTTTTTTATCCCTACTCATGAATAAATGTTGAAAGTATATCACTACCTACATTTAGACAGTATCAACATCATTAGTGTTGGAGATTATTTACTCCCTCCACTAATTACCATTTGCAAGTCTCAGCACTTCTTATTTCGTTTTCGTCCCTTGCTCACTTTCTTGTATCAGTCTCAAGGAATGTCTGCTCACCAGCTTTCAGAATTTACTCATACTTTTCAAGCTTTCTGTCTTTTAACTATTGTAAATGAGCAGGAATATCAGGTGTTTTTTTCAGCATTATTCATTGTATTTCCCATCACTTCATGTAAATACCATTTCAGAAAATGTATGCAGATTTTTAGCCAGTCTTGTGGAAAATGCCATTTTCAGAATTTATTTAAAGTGTATTTGTTTTTGTTAATGTGATACATTTGCTATATAAACATTGGACAGTGTCAGAATTTCAAATTCAGATCATGAGGACTTCCAGTCATATTATAAACTGTAAATATCA